TCAACATAATCACAAGGTCATTACAAGTGGAAGAATGAACTCCAAGTCAAAATGAGGTTTGAAGATGCCATCCTGCTCTCTGTAAAGATGGAGGGGGCCACAAACCAAGAAACGCAGGGAGGCTCGAGAAGCTGGAAAAGGCAGGAGGATGAATTCTTCCCTAAAGCCCCCAGGACAAAGTACCACCAACACCTCTGTTTTAGCTGCATGAAACCCAATTCTGGACTTCTGATCTCCAAAAACTATAGAATAATAAATTGCTACTGTCTTAAGCCACTAAATTTGTGGTAATTTGTAGCAATGTGAACCTAATATACTAGGATATACCTTATAATATTAAACTTGCTTTCCTAATGATGCTATCTTAATGCAGTTAATTCCAGAACACAAATTAGATACAAAATGTTAACTTACTCCAAAAAAAAAAGAAGAAAAAAGGCATGCATATGAACATAGAAAAGTAAAGTTTGTGAAACTGTAGGAGTTTGTCTTTTTAAAACATTTATTGATCTTATATATGTACAGTAAATATAAATTGGGAGATGTAAAATAAAAAAAGTCTTATATCAAAACCAGCTTATACTTTTCTATTATAAAAAAATACATAATGAAAAGAACAAATGAACTAACTTTCAGCATTCTAGGCTAAAGCTTTAGATAGCTGTGTAACTTCGGGCAAGTCACTTAACGGCCCTGGGTTATAATAAACTTCTCCAATGGAAAGGAGGGCAAAGTTCTTAGGGCAGCTAAAATATTTCCCAAAGTGTGACTTAAATAAGTATCCCAGTACATGAAATTATAGCTATCAAGCAACAGCTAAGAAACTAATCAATTTATGTAAGAAAAAATTCTCATTTGATGACCTAATTCTATCAAGAATAAAATCTGTCTGGTGCTGGTGTGCCTTTAACAACTCACAACACCTGCATATCTTGTTTTTTAACAAGAGGAACAACTCTAAGGCTCAGGGCTTAAGGCAAAAGTATTTAGCCAGAATTTATTAATATTACTGTATTTTCTTTGTACTTAATTTTAAATATCTTTTCTTTACAGCAGTAATTCTTGTTTTCCATTTATAGCAGCAATATAGATTTTTCTTTGAAAACAACTATTTGTAGCGGGCATTGTGGTAAGTGCTTATAGTGCCAGCTAGTCAGGAGGCTGAGGCAGAAGGATTGCTGGAACCTGGGAGTTTGAGGTTACTGTGAGCTAGGCCCATGCCGCGGCACTCTACCTGGGGCAACAGAGGAAGATTCTGTCTCAAGACAAAAAAAAATTTCCATTGTTATGGTTATTTCCATAAAATAACCATTTAATATTTAAAAGTAAATTGATTTTAAAGAAAAAGCATACAAATGGTATGTAGAGAAGGAGAAACCATGAAGATAGTACCAAAATGAGTTTCAGAACACTGCACTAGATGTTTAAGAAATTCCTGGGCTCTATCTTCCTCAACTTTTAAATGAGATGATTAATTATAATCTACCATTTATATTCAGCCTCCCCTTTTCTACTTAATTCCACACTGAATTATGACCATACTAATCCACTCCAAGTTCACCAGCTGGAAGTCACTGATGAACTCACATTACAAGACTCAACACAGATTCTTTCCAGCTTAGTGCATTAGGTGTCTTGCACCTACCCACATTCTTAGGGTTCTTGGGCTGTTGATTATTCCTTCGCCCCCAAAAGAAATCCTCAACTTCTGTTGAATATACATTCTCCTTGCAAAGCCCTTCTCCCTTAGATTTCCTGACAATAAAGTCTCTCTTGGTTTTATTTATATACAGTAGAACCTCTGTAAGTTGCCCACCCTAGGCACTGTAACCAGCTAGTCAGCACACAGAGGTGGTCAATGAGGACTACTGTACTGATTTGTCTATGTGGTGCATATCTGGTCTGTGAAAATCAGGTCAACTTAAGGAGGTGGTGAGTATGAGGAGGCAGCTACGGGTTCTATTGTATATAAAAACATTCATTCACCTTCATTCATGCAATAAATATTTACTGAGTACCTGCTAAATGTCAGGCATAGAGCTAAATACTAAGGATACAGTGGTGTACAAGACAAGATTCACTAAACAAACCAAACGCATCAGACAAATATTAACTGTGCTAAGTTCCTAGAAAAGCACAGAGACTGTGAGAGGATTAAGTAAGGGAACTAATCAAGCCCGAGAGAGGGGTCAACAGAAAGCTTCCCGTTAGAACTTCAGACAAGACAGTAGTCAGCCTGGCTGTGGCGTATGGGGAAGATAAACAGAATGTGAAAAATCCCTGTGAAGTGCAGGGAAAGACGGGCTGGCGATAAGGAGTACTACACAAGGGAGAAAAAACAGACTAGGGCGTCATGGCAGTTGAGGTCTCTCACTGGCCAAAAATGTGACAGGGTGAGCATCAAAACGAATAATGAGTGCAATTAAATGACATATTTATTAAAGCTCATGCATTCCAAATGGTAATTTTTGAAAGTAAAGATCAGGTCTTGCTCAATGACTCAATCTATCACCCCAGCACTCTGGGAGGCCAAGGCAGGAGGATCACTTGAGGCAAGAAGTTCAGGCAGGGCAACATAGCAAGCCCCATCTCTACACAATAATTAAAAATTAAAAAATTAGCTTAGCATGGTGTCACACACCTGTAGCCCCACTACTTGGGAGGCTGACGCAAGAGGACTGCTTGAGTGCAGGGGTTTGAGTTTACAGTGATTGTTCCACTGCAACTCCAGCCGAGGCGAAAGAGTGAGATGTGTTCAAGGGAAAAAAATAGTGAAGATCAGAATTATGCTAACTCTTGGATACCATTAGAAATAATGAGGCCATTCTCTCTTACAAAATTGTCAATTAGAAAGAATTTATCCTGCCTTTCTTACACAAACTACGTAATGGGGTGATCATGCAGTGATAAAGAAAAAGTTCCGTTTACAGAAGAATTTCAGTGTGTAAAGGAAGAAATTAGAAAATCACCATTTTGCAACTCCTGATAACTGAGGCAATGATCATCAAGAATGAAACCATTAAGTTAAAGGTTGACGGAGAACTTTACAAAAGAGAGCTCTGCTGTCACCATCTGAACCCAATGATCACTCTTAGCCTCACTGACAGTGATACAGCCTTTTACTGTGATGTGGTATGAAGCACACAGCACCACCTGAAAAGTATTCTTGCCAAAAAGTCAAACATGAATCTAACCAAATCCCTAAAGGTAACTTCACTTACCCGAATTATGAGGGATACAGTTAAGGACTACTATAAGGAAGCAAA